CACACTTATAGAACAAGGTTCAAGTATGAATAAGAAATTACAAGAATAGAAAAGAAAGAAAAAGAAAGAGGGAATTTTATGATTTTATGATTTTATGAATTGCCAAGGGATGTTCCTTGTCCCTTCGTTGTGTGGAAGGGTGTGCAATTAATAGTCTCTTGTTCTTGATCATTTATTAAAGCTCTGAAAAATAAAAAATAGTGAGCTCTTTGTAAATCTACTATGCACTACACATATTATTTGGTTTGCCAATAATGACTACTCTACCATTTCTCTGAGTTATGCCATCAGATGCAACCTAAAGGAAAAAGGAAGTATCTTAGGCTGTGATTAAACACCATGACCACAGCAACTTGGAAAGGAAAGGGTTTATTTGGCTTACACTTCAACACTGTAGTCCATCATTGAAGGAAGTCAGGACAGGAACTCAAGCAGAGCAGCAACCTGGAGGCAGGAGCTGATGAAGAGGCCATGGAGGGATACTGCTTACTGGCTTGCTCATTATGACTTGCTCAGTCTGATTTCTTACAGAACCCAGAACCCCCAGCCCAGGGATGGCAGCACCCACAATTGGGCTGCCCCACACAGTCAATCACTAATTAAGAAAATACCCTACAGCTAGAATTTATTGAGACAGTTTCTCCATTTAAGTTCCCTCCCTTTAGCTAACGCTAGCTTGTGTCGACATAAAACTAGCCAGCACAGGCTGTATTTCCCTTTGAGACAGTAGAAACTCACTCACTACTTCTGTTGAGGCAGGAGAACCACCAAGATCAGAGTTCTCTTCAACTGTAAAGAAAATGAAATCATAAAATTTGCAGGTAAATGGACAGAAATCAAAACTATTACAGTGAGTGAGGTAACCCTGATGCAGAGAGAAGAACAACACATGTTCTGTCTGATTTGTGGTCCCTGCCTGAATCTTCAGATGTCAGCACACAGCCTGCAGTCACCACAGAAACTGAAAAGCTGCCATTGGGAGAAATGGAAGAAGGAGTCCTGGAAAGGTGGACAGTAGGGCACAGTCTGTGTGTGTTTGAGAAAGTATCACTATGCAGTCCTGGCCAGCCTGGAACTCACTATGTAGACTAGGCTGCCTTGAAGTCTTAGGCATTTACCTGTCTCTGCCTCCTGAATGCTGAGATCACCACCTTTTTGGAAACTATTCCCCATGCTGAGATGCTTCGCCCAGCCTTGATGCAGGGGCTTGGTCCTGCCTCAACCTGATATGCCAGGCATTGTTGACTCCCCAAGAGAGGCCTTACCTTTTTCTGAGGAGTCCATGAGGGGTGAGTTAGGCTGGAAGTAGGGGGAGCAAGAGGAAAGAAGGGAGGGGAGGGGAACTGTGGATGATATGTAAAATGCAGATGACATGATAGTCTACATAAGTGACCCGAAAAACTCTACCAGGAATAATTTAAAAAACACAAAACTGTGATCAGCTAAATAAGACCTGAAAAATGAGAGTGCCGGCTGACATGTCTACATAGATATGGAAAATCTCATAGGGTCCCAACTACTGAATGACTGCTGAGAGGGGAAAAAAATAAACTTTCCCCAGAGATAAGACCTAATATAGGTTATCCAATCCCAAGAGGTCACCCTAAACACATGCACATAGGAGCAACACTAAATGGACTCTCCTAGATTTCTCTCTCTCTCTCTCTCTCTCTCTCTCTCTCTCTCTCTCTCTCTCTGTGTGTGTGTGTGTGTGTGTGTGTGTATGTGTGTATGTGTGTGTGTGTAACAGTAATTGAGGAAGAGGACATGAGTTTGAGATAGAGTAAGAAAAATGTGGGTGGAGTTAAAGGAGGAGGGTGAAGTAGAAATTATCTAAGCATGGTTCACATGTATGAAATTCTCAAAAATGTTTAAATTAGAGATAATAATTACTCTTGATAAAATGTTAACATATGAAAGAAGGAAGACTGGACACCTCTCCTTACATGGACTTCATCTAAGGAACATGGATTGTGCAAAAACACTGAGGCAATATGCATGGTCGAGACGGGGATTCTCTAGGTCTTATGAAGAGCTATGAACAGTGTGGCCAGATAGATGTGTTTTGGACGCTCTCCTCAGCTCATTAGCACACACCCATTCTTAGGAATGTTTTCCTTCTTGATAAGTTTTATCAGTTTCCATTTTAAGTATGTATTTCTGGTGTAAGCATTTTACCTGGGAAATAGGAGTGTGGTACTGGCTGCCCTCTGCATACACATCAATGGCTCAGAGCTTCTAAGCAAATTTCCTTGGCATTCTTGGCTTTCTCACTGTTCCTCAGACCTCTGTGGTGAACTAAAAAGGCTAATATTTTCTCCACCTCCTCACCTAATGGTGGCTGCCTGGATTCTCTGCTTTCCTATATTGTTGTTTTTCTCCCAAAAATCTAGTAGAATTGTTCTCAAGATTTCTTTTCAGATTGTTTTGATTGTCTTTCTAATGAGACTAATAACCCCCAAAGGGAAAATCAGTTCCCTAGCACTGTGTTGCAAAGCCTGCTGTGTCCCCTATGCCTCCTTGCAGCCTCCAGGAGCAGGATTTGGTGCTGGCTGCAAGTGTCTGTGAAGTACAGTGCACCCACCACACAGATGTAGGAGGCAGTGTCCTCCAGATGGGAGGCTGTGATGTGCAGAGTGCTGTGCCGAGCATCTCTATTCATAGTTGCTGAGTATCTTCCATTTGACTTGCTGTTCTCTCTGTGAGTAATGATTGCCAGGGGCACAAGACCTCTGGCTGTGTCTTGTCTGTACCACCTTAAGTTGTTAGCAGGGCTCACAGTGTAACTGCATTGTAGAGTGCAGTTCTCTCCCTGCAGAACAGTCAGGGACTGAGGACTCTGCTCCACTTGGGTCTTGCCAGCAGCCCCTATTCAGAAAACAATGCGAAATTCCAGAAATCAGTAATCCACACTTAGTGCTTGTAGTTTGTATTCTTTACTCTCCGCATGAATCTTGGGTGACTAGGAATAAGCATATTTTGCTCTCTCCACCTATTACAAGGAATTACCTCTTTCCCCCAAATCCTAAAAAAATGTTCTTTGACTTTCCCTGGTCCCCCTGGTTAAAACCACCACTAACTTACACTGAACATACAGCCACAAAACCACCCAGCAGGCACTCCAGTGTTTCTCCGTTGTCATTCTGCAGAAGTCTGCCCCCAAAGCTGCTACCTATTTCATCAGCTCTTTCTTGTCACATATAGGAACTCTCAGGAAGTACAGCCAGCCAATCAGAGACCTGACGCCCACATCAGCTCCTGGAGTCAGGACCAATATAAGCACTGCCACCCTGGGGTCAGAACTGCACTTGCTTAAAACCTTTGAGGAAACTTTTTGTGGTTCCTTTTCACTGCTGGAAATGTGATGAACGAGGTAGAGTCTAATGTAGCCAATAAAACATGGTAGAGTGTCAATTAGAATCTATTTAGGACCTCAGTTCAATTTTGGCTGTACATGGGACATTAGATAGGACAAGTAATATTTACTTTCCTCATCTGAAAGGTGATGCCTAATGATTTTTCTAATGAATAGAAATGACTTATGGTAGAGGCTAGCAGTAACAACTAGCCTGAACTTAATCAGAACCTAAAATGTGATTTCCTTTAGAATGTGACTTTTCCCTTGTTCTATTTGCTACTATGTCACCAGTTTCAAAAAGTGAGTTTTGTCAAGAAACAGGTATATTAAAATTCTGTTTAAAAATAAATATTTTTATTAATTCTTTGACAATTTCATATTTGCATCAATATACTTTTGAGGAAATATTAAATTCTGCTCTCATAGTTTTTAATCATTCATTATTAGTTCAACAATATTTTCCAAGACCTGTTGTTCTCATTTATGGTAATAAATGCTAAGGACCAACAATTCTCTGTGCTGTTGAATTACACACTAACGGAAAAGTCAAGGATCTGGCACAGGTACTGACAAGTGATATGTGTTGACGGTTTTGAAAATTCCTTTCTTAAGGCTTCTCATTTTTCAGTGAAATTGAAGCTAATGAAAATGTGAAAGTTGTTTAGGTAATTGAAGATTTGCTGTACATCTGAGATCTAATGCATAGAGACGGAGGAAGCAAAACAAGGGAAACATAACTTGCCTGACAAATCAAACGAAAACTAGAATATCCATTCATACAGGACAAACCGGACTTCTAGGAGATAATTACAAGAGGTGAAGACAGTGTGATCACTGGTTTTGTGACAGTGTGGCCAATACCCCGATAGTCTATCACTAATCTAAATATCACTGTGAAATAGATGGATTTCATGTGATCACTTGAAGGATTTAAGGGGAAAATGATTTTCGAGCTTATTGAGTCATGCTTTACTGTCAACACCTGGAAGGCAGAGGCAGGTGGATGTTTGTGAGTCTGAGGCAAACCTGGTGGTCTACAGAGAGTTCCAGGAATAGTCAGGGCTACATAGAGAGACCCCATCTAAAAAAAGGAAAAAGAAAAAGAAAAGAAAGAAGAAATGAAGGAAAGAAAGGAAGGAGAGAAAAAATGATGAGGTTCCCTCCAAATAGAATAAATTCTGATTTACCAAGAAAGCATCCTGTCTTCTGCGTAATGCGTGTCCATCCCTTCAGCTCTTCACGTTGCTGCTTGCAAGTGAGACCCTGATGCTCCTCCTCCTTCTTAAGAATTTCCCAGGCTTTGCAAAGGAAGGCTTGCAGCTTTCTGTCACCTTTCCCACCAGACTGTTAGGTCACATTATGTAGATGTCTCTTCCTCCAGCACATTTCATTAACTAAAGATAGACAAGACTTAAACATGGCTCAGGGGCAGACTTCTTGCCTGGAAAGCATGAGGCTTTGTGGGTGGTTCCCAGCACTGCAGGAAAATAACTTAAGATAGGGTAGCAGAGACCACTTCATTTTCTAATGGTTTGTGAAGTTATGTGTCCTGGCATGAGAACATTTATAGGGTTTTCACCACCAGACAAGTGTAACACAACACAGGGTGCCCTGAAGCCAGACTGATTTCAGAGGCACTTGCTCAGCAGTCAGGCAGCCTGCTGCCTCTCAGTTTGTGTTCAGCTCCCCCTGCAGTTCCTGTCACTGTGTCACCAACAGCACAGTAGTACTCAGCTGAGTCTGACTCTTGGACCGAGGCTTTCTGCAAGTGGAAGGATTTGGATCCCTTATCATATGTAGCTTCAAAACCTCTGCTGCTTCCCTTCTCACCAGCTGTAAGGACTTTCAGGAGGAGCTGCAGACTTTCTCCAGGATGTCGAACATACCAGAAAAGAGCAGGGTACGCTACGCTTGTGATTGAATACGTGCAATTTATTGTCAGGAACTCGCCTTCTGAGATGGTCACTTGTTCTCCTGTTTGAGTCACGGAGTCTCCATGTGTCCTTCCTAGAGTGCAAGGATGGCAGAGGGAGGGAGAATGAGTTCTGTGTCACCTTGAGGTAATGCTCTTAGATAACATAGGACTAAAGACTGTGCTGTTAAAATCACTTTCCTTACCGAGAATGAGGAGTATCGCAGTCATGAAGCCTGGAGAAGAGTTCATCTTTAGTGTCGTCTGGAAAATGGTCTTGATGCTTAGCATGAAGAAATGTTAAGTCAGAGAAAGATAGTGTAAATCCCCTCAAATACAAATCACACAGGAAATGAGCCTGCATTAGGAACCTGCACCCCCTGGTGGACAGGAACTGAACTGAGGATGGATGTTAGCCCATGCCTCCCCCAGATCTTAATAATAAGGCATATGTCAGACTTTAGGACCTTGTACATGTAAAGACAACTGTCATCTTACCCGTGTCAGATTGGCCAAGATCAATAAAATAAATGACAGAACGTGTTGTTGGTGATGTGGGGAAAGGGAAACACTTATTCATTATTGATGGTGCTGCAAACTTTCACAGCCACCATGGGAATCAGTGTGGTGATTCCTTGGGAAGCCGGGAATAGATATATGTCAAGATCCACTTCTATCACTCTTGGGAATACACCCAAAGGACCCAACACCTTACTACAGAGGTGCCTGCTCATCCATGTTCTTTGCTGCCCTATTCACAGTACACAGGAATTGGAAACATCTCAGATGTCTATCAACTGAAGAACAGATGATGACAGTGTAGTGCATTTACACAATGAAACAGTAGTCCATTGTTAAAAAGTGAAATTATGAAATTTGAAGGTAATTTGATTGAGCCAGTAGAAAATCAACTTGAATGAGGTAACTTAAACCTCATTAAAAGACAAATATTGCATGTTTTCTATTATGTATGGACATTAGCTTTTAAGGTTTGGATAGGCGTGCTACAATCCAAATAATCACAAAAGCTGGGTACCAGATAGGGAACTAGGAGGGAAGAGAATGTCACCCAAGGAAGAAGAAATAGAATATGGTGTTATAGGGAGACAAATGAAAAGAATAATAGGGCGAATAAATAGGGAGGGGATGGAAGAGAAAGGTGAAGGGGGGAATGTGGCAAGGGACAACTAACACTCATGCCATTTGGAAAACCATATGAGAACACACTATTGTAATAGTATCATCGTAAAATATACATATACATAAAAGGATTCTAAATGAAGTCACTAAATATTAGGGCAGACAATGCCCCAACTAGACATCTTAGATCACCAAGTAAAACCTATGTTAATGCACAAGTAAGAAACAGAAAGAAGTCACAGTAGTTATAAAAACTAATATGTTCTGCCAGACATTGTGGCACATCCCTTTAATCTCAACACGGGGGAAGCAGAAGCAGGAGGATTTCTGTGAGTGTGATGCCAGCCTTGTCTACATAGCAAGTTCCAAGACAGTCAGGACTATATAGAGGAACCCTGACACAAAAAACCAAATAAGCAATAAAATTAGAGAGACAAATACAATTGGGTATTTTCAGATAAAATAATGACAATCTGGTGAGAGTTCTCTATAAGAGAACACTAAAATACATTCTATGAAAGTTACAATTTTATTCTCTTTGCATACTGTCATGCAAATTATCACTTGACACACAATAGGCACAAATAACTGCATTGAACAGATGTGGATAATTAATAATGTTGTGGTGGTATCAATATTGGGTCTTACTATATGTTTACTAGTTCAACAAATACAAAAATAAGTGACAATTAATAGAAAGACAATGATTAGAGGCAAATCCCTCATTAAAGTGGAATTTTTGTACTTAACATTAAAAATGTGTGTAAGGCTAAACATGTTTACTTAAAACTATGTAAATATAAAGCATGGTACAGTGAAACATGACAAAAATCCAAGTATATGGAAGGCAAAATACTATAAATGCCTTCTGAATCTGTCTGTGCAGCAAAACTTGTCTCAGGAAGAAAAGATAGATAGATAGATAGATAGATAGATAGATAGATAGATAGATAGATAGATAGATCGATAGACAGACACGTGATAGATAGATAGATAGATAGATAGATAGATAGATAGATAGATAGGTGGATAGATGATTGAAAGATAGATAGATGATAGATAGAGATATAGAGATAGATAGCATACATGTTCATGCAGAAAAGATTTTGGTTGAATGACATACAGAGCCTTTGTATATTTTTATGATTTGTGTGTGTGTGTGTGTGTGTGTGTGTGTGTGTGTTTATGTGTGCATGTATGTATGTTCATAGTGTTAGGGATGTAGATTTGAGCAAAAGTTGGGAAATATCAATAAGTGTATTCAAGGGAGAGATTTTCAAGGCAGAAAACACAACTATAAAGATATGCACTTAGTACTCATTCTTATAGCTTGCAGTGACAAACAGTACTTAAGTTAATAAAACGTTTGGGTTCACTATGAGTGAGCTAGGAAATGATTGGATTGAGAGGTTGTTTTGTTGTTAACTTGCTTTTATACTTAAGATTGGTTACTTTTAAAGGAATTGATCTGCCTGCTTTCTGAAAAAGAACGTGTCCTCTATCAAGTAGAAATTCAGGAAACCCAATGCAGGATTTGAAGCCCCTATGACCAGACAAACACTGGGGCTCCAATGAGACAGTAGGGTCAGAAGCTGTGAGAAGGGACTACTTTGGATTAAATTAGAAAGTTGAGCTACTGGATTTTCTTTTGTTGTTTTTTTCCAAATGCTACTTCCATACAATATGCTTTTTCATTGTTCTAAAGCTTTATACATTTTGAACAGGTCTTCTGAAGTATTCTTTATATGTGAAATTAGTTCAAATGTATATTTCAATAACTGGTATGTTGTTCATATATCTAGCTGTATGATCATCATCACTGGCCATCACACACATTTCCTTGACATCTGGGCTTCCTACCTCTAGATAGATAGGAGAAAACCTTATGTGTTGTAGAGTTGTCTATACTGAACAATACATGCAAAAATAAGTCCCCAAAATACTGTGGTGTTGTGTGGATGGATCTGAATCACTCAAGGCTCTCCAGAGAAGCACACCCACTATACCCGGATTGACTTTTAGTTGATTTGAAATCCAGCCAAGTTAAAAACCAAGAAGAACCATCACAGCACTGCCACTAATTGTTAGGTTTTAGGGACATTATTTTTATTGTGTATCAGTATGCTGTCATTTTTATTACAAGGGAGGATCAAGGGGGGAAGCAAGTATTTCCCGGGGGAGGGGAAATAGAATATATTTTGTGGGTAGACTGGAGACAGGTGATGGTGGGAACAGGAAGGATCAGGTGGGGCAAGGATAGACTGAGGGAGAGATGACTGGAACATTTAAAGAGTGGACATTTAAAGAGCAATAATGGAAACCTAGTGCAGGAGAAACTTTCTGAGACCTACAGGGGTGACCCCAGTGAGGACTCCTAGTAATGGAGGATATGGAACTGAAACTGGAACTGGCCTCTGTAATCAGGCTAGGCTCTCAGTGGTGGGACTGGAACACCAACCCAGCCACAAAATCTTGCGCCCACAATTGCAAGATGAGCTGGGCCAGTGGTGGCTCAGACTTGTGGGAGTGGCCAAACAATTATTGGTCTAACTTGAGGCCCACACCACAAGAAGGAGCCCATGACCATCACTGCCTGGATGGCCAGAATCCAGAAGGTGGGTAGCACAGAGATCTAGGGTAGAACCAAACACAACTGACAACAACAACAACAAAATTAATAAAATGATTCCAATGATACTCTGCTACACCTATAGATCTGTGCCTAGCCCAATCATCATCTGAGAGGTTTTCCAGTAGTTGAAGGGAACAGTACAGAGACCCACAGCCAAACATTAGGTGGACCTTGGGGAACCCTGCAGATGATGGGGAGGAAGGATTGTAGGAGTCAGAGGGTCAAGGACACCATGAGAACACAGTCCACAGAATCAACTACACAGGGCTCATATGGGCTCACAGAGACTGAAACAGCAACTGTGCTACAAGGGTCATCTGCATACATGTTGTGGTTGTTCAGCTTGGGGATTTTGTTAGACTCCTAACAATGGGAAGAGAAGTGTCTGTGACTATTTGTCTACTCCTGGGACCCTTTCCTTCTATTGAGTTGTCTTGTTTGGTCTTGATATGAGGGTTTATGACTAGTTTTGTTGTATCTTGTTGTGTCCTGTCCAGTTGATAATCACTTGGAGGTATCTGCTATCTTCTGAAGGGAAAATGAAGAGAGTGGATCTGAGGGAGAGGGGAGATAGAGGGGTACTAGGAAGAGGGGAGGGGAGACTGTGGTCAGCAAGTATTGTGTGAGAGAATGCATTTTATATAATAATAGTAAGTAGTAGTGATGTGCTTACACAGTCTGTTTGGTGCTGCCTCAGCAGACACATGATTTGCAAACATGTCCTTCAATTTTGGGGTTCTTTTTCACTTTATCAATAGTTTCCTTTAAAGCACACATATTTTAGTGCTAGGGCTATAGTTCAGTAGAGCACTTGCCTAGAATCCACGAGGCTGGAGTTTAATTCCTAGCACTGAAAAAAAGTCAAAAAAAAATGTTTTTCACTTTAATGAGGACAAACTACTTTATCGTCACTTTGTTTCTTGCCACTTTGTTGCCATAACTAAGAAAGATTTGTCCAACTCATGTCATTAAAATTCATTTATATGTTTAAACGTGCTTCACTTGGCCTGGGGAGATGGCTCAGGGGTTCAGAACGCTTGCTGTTCTTGCAAAGAACCCAAGTTTGCCTGCAACTTCAGTTCTAGGGTGTTTGGTGTCCTCTTCTGGTCTCTCCAGACACCTGCAGTCACACACACACACACACACACACACACACACACACACACACACCACACACACAGCACCCAAGCTGAATACATTTTTGAATCATGCTTCATAACTTGGTCATTACATTTTGAGTGTGGGATCCTTTGGTCTTTTGTAATGTACTATAGAAAGAAGCAACACTCTCTTTCATTAACAGGTAATTATTCATCCATTTGTCCTTAGTTTTCCTTGAGGACTATGGATCTCTTTGGGATAGTTTTCTATACCACTCTATCTAATTCCTAGCCTGTATTATCTCCCAAGACCATCACATCCCAGGTTTCTTTCTCCTAACAATGTCACATCCAACTTCCCTGATGCTTAATTCAGTTTCCCTCATTTGACATTTAAGCAGAATTGAGAACTTTCCTCTCTTTATCTTAATTCACTTTTCCCCAGGAACAAAGCATCCAGGATTCAGGATATTTTTCCTCAATGCAGATCAAAACCACTGACCTATTGAACTGAAAGAAGAACGTATTAGAAACTTAAGGAAGAGGCTGCAGAATATGATATAATTTTGGCCAAAAGATTGGAGGAAGCCAAATAAAAATGGCAGGAATTTATTTTCAGGAGATACAGACTGTCTCCTATTAGAACTTTTACTTCTTAATTCAGTCAAACCTAAGAACTTTTAGGAATAACAAACAAGTTATCAGACCATAAGAGGAAATAAAACTAAATCCTTTCTTACTGCACATTACCAGGGAGATACGGAGCATGTGTAGCCTCATAAGCCATGATAATTCCATGAATGACATCAGTTAGGTTCAGTGTGTAAGAATTACAGAGGATTGTAAACACATACACAGTTTCATTCAGCAAGAAATGTTATATTTAAAAAATTACAAATTCAGCCTATTATCATAGTTAATGCTTATAACTCTAGCCCATGAGAGGAGCAGGCAGGAAGAACAGGAGTTGAAAGCCCACCTCAGTTTCATCAGGAGTTCAAGGCCAACCTGGGCTACTGGAAAGCCCATCTCACAAAACAAAAACAAAAAAGGAAATCACTGTGATATGTGACTGCTTTTACTCTGTCTGATCAAGTCTAAAGTAAAGCATGCTCACTTCCTGTTCTTGTAATGTGTTCTTAGTGTTGATTAGCATGGTTTACACTGCAAAAGTGCCTGGGTGTGCAGTGAGTCTCAACAATAGCAGACCTGCCTCTAGTCCCTAAATGAGGGATGTCAGACACACTCAGCAGTCATACCCCTGCTTCTCAGAGTTTGTGCTCAGCTCCCCCTGCAGATTGTGCCAATGTGTCACTCAGAGCACAGTAGTACACAGCCGAGTCTGACTCTTGGACCGAGGCTTTCTGCAAGTGGAAGGAAGTGGATTCTTTATCATATGTAGCTTCAAAACCTCTGCTGCTTCCTTTCTCATTGGCCTTGGAGACTCTGAAGAGGAGCTGTGGACCTTCTCCAGGATACTGCACGTACCAGAACAGGGCTGGGTACTGTTGGGTTTCATAGGAGCAGTTCACAGTAACAGAAGTCCCTTCAGAGAGTGTCACTTGACCTTCTGTTTGAGTCACTGAGTCTCCATTGCTTTCTCCTAAAAGAGAAATTAGCAACAACAATTCAGTGTGGGTCACTTTGGCAGCGACCTGTATTCTATCTCATGGGAAGAATATCCTTAGAATTTATATCAATATCATAGAACAAGACAGAACCTCCATGTGTCATCCCACTTACCAAACATTAGAAAGACTGCAATCACTAGTCCTGGAAAAGAATTCATTTTCTGAGCCACTGGAGTGGGTGAATCTTAATTTCTTGAGTCAGAAAAGGTTAAGGTTATAGTGAAAGGATGAATGTGAGCCAAGAATTAAACAGGAAATGTGTATGGGTTACGTAGATGTACCCATCCCCCCCATCCCATTTTAGGCAGTTTGCTAACCTCAGAAGACTGTTGACCTATATGCTCAAAGTCAATGATGGAGTGACACTCTTGGATCTCTTGTCTAAGACACCTGGTATCTTTTGAATGGTGCTTCTGTAATTCTGAAGAATAGTTGTGATAGGTTTGTTTGTTCTTTTATGTTTTCTTACCTGGGAAACACCATTCCGTGACATTTCTTAGTTTCCTGTGTAGCCAGTTTGTGCTATGTGGTAATCCACTGGAAAAATCAGGCAAGCAAAGAATGTCAACACATGTTTAGTCACTACCAGATGACTTTGGGGGAAAGAGACAAACTTTTTCCATTGTGTTACCCTATAGTTGGACAGGTGTCATTAACCTAAAAGACAGCTAACACTTACTTCTTAAATAAATAAATGAATGTTGTTTGTTTAAAGGAATGTCATTACTTGAAATAGTTAACTTGTTTCACATTTGAAACACTTACCTTAAGAAACTCAATTAATTAAATTTTTATTAATAAAAGTTTTGAGAAAGAAAAACGATAATTTTATATTACATGTATATTATTGCAAATTTTAAATATTGTCAGTGTTACTAAGTGATAGAACGAACACAGCATATTATGCATGAGGCTTTGTGAATCAGTCTCCATCACCTTAAAAATAGTAATAATAATAAAAATCCCTCTGGTGGTGAAGAGAATGGTACATATAGGCACCTGTGTTTGAATACTTGGTTCCCAGATGGTAAAACTAGGAAGAGTTAGGAGGAGTGGTCTTGTCTTGAGGTTTCAAAGGACTCAGCCATTCCCAGTTTCTCTGCCTTGTGGGTGTGACTCAGGATGGATGCTCTCAGCCATTGGTCCAGTACTATGCCCCCATGCCATGCTCCCCACCATTATGGACATAGACACTAACCCACTGAAACTGTAAGCCCCAAATAGACTTCTGTAAGTTACCTGTGCCATAGTGTCTCTTCACAGCAACATAGAATTAACTAAGACAAACCCACATAACTTTTATTCCTAGAGAAATATAGAAACTGAAGACATTGAATACCTATGGAAATGAATGGAATTCCCCTTCCCCTGACATGTGATTGACCTATGTGCACCAAACAGATTCTGCCTTACATGTAGCTGCAGATCCATTGTTGTTTTGTTACTATACTTTCTATAGATATTTTTCTCAACCATGCTTTGATGGGGGTTTTCCTTCTGTATATATGTTTCTCTTATTGGTTGATGAATAAAACACTGTTTAGCTAGTAGCTAGGGAGGAAGGATAGGTGGGACTACCAAAGAAGGAGAATTCTGGGAAGTGTTGGCAAACAGGGGTCACCATGTGGAGCCCAGGAGAATAGGATATGGCAAGCATTCTCTTGTAAGTAAGATGACGTGGGAATACATAGATTAATAGAAATGGGTTAATAATTAAGATAGAGCTAGCCAATAAAAAACTGTAGTCATTGTCCAATAATTTAATGATTATTATAAGTCTCAGTGTGTTCATTTGGGGCTGCAGTGGCAGTGGGACCAGGCCACTATAAGAACATCTCGTTATAGTGCTTTCTCTATATCTTTACCTGTCAACATTATTTACATAACCAATATGATTCCATAAAGTTATAGTTACACAGGAACATATCCTCCCATAAAGTATAGTCGCACAGGAACATATCCTCCCATAAAGTCATAGTCACACAGGACCATATCCTTCCAGAGTGAATATTTTTTTTCTGAAGAGACTAAAAATTGAACTAAATCTCACCCTCTGGGAATAGGCACAAATGGCGTGTCTGTTTATGAATAGTATATTCTTCACAATGGAGACACTCTCCGGCCCACACAGTTTTGAAGTGTGTATTCACTAAGGGATGTCTCTGATTGATAAATGCTCTAAGACTCTCAAGAGGATCTGAGTTCAGTTCCCAACACATGCATGGTGACTCACAATACCCTTCAGTGCCAAAGCCAGGAAAATCCAATGTTCCTAAGGTTACCCACAGTCATTAACACACACACACACACACACACACACACACACACAAACGCACACGCACACACACAGGCACGCACATGCACACACGCAGGCACGCACATGCACATGTGCATGCACATGCACACATACTCATTCACACATACCATTAAAAATACTAATTTAATTTTTTCAAGGTGTGGATCGCATTATAAAGTTCAGAAGCCATCCATGGTTTCTGTCACACAACAGTCTCTTTTTTTCCCCAGTAACAGCAGCCCCTACTGCTTGAAACAAGATATACAACCTCTCCATGTTCTGACACAGTCAGAATGCTTCCTAACTGAACATCACTGAATGAAGAAGGCAAATAAAGACTGCATATGTCGTAGGAGGCTAAGTTTTCTTTCTGTTGATAGTGGCTATTGGTTTTCTGAATTTCTCCATTGTCAACTAGAAAACTATGTGTATCTGAGGACAAAGTGAAATTGCACAGTATTTAGGAGGCAGAGAGGAGGCATCATGTCACAGACCTCCCCAGTTGGGTATGGGGGTCGCTGGGATGAGGGACCTGGAAGACTAGGTGGGTTAGGATTTGGCAGTGACAAACAGAAACAAACACAGAGGCAGTTTGAATCTGAGTGTTTTTGTAGCTCTAAAGCAAGGATTTTTATACAGAATAAAACAAATATCTTTTCAGAATATGTGTTCATTGAAGCAAACCCAGATAGAACAAATGACATCATTGTTAATTGGCACAGTAGGACACAGAATCATCCGAGGCTAACCAAAACAGTAAATTACAAAATTTTTCAAGGTTGACCATAACACAAAACCATTCAAGGCTAACTGCCTATTTCTTAGATCAGATTAATAAATTTTTATGGTCAGTTATTGTTTAATATCTATTACATAGCTCTTATGAGTCTTTGAAATATTGAGCTATTTTGACTCTTTCTTATTAAAAAGCTTTTTTTACCAAACATTTAAGCCCATTCTCCATCACACATGTACAGCCATATGAAAATTTAATTTTGGGAAAGTATTTATCTTAACACCACTTACTTATGTGAATGACGTGAATGATTTGAAAAGTGTTGGTTTTCCCAGAGATGAGGTCATGGCTAGTGACCCAGTCTCAGAGGATGGTTTTTTATTTATTTCTTTTGTCTAAAATGTCAGCATAGCCCTTTAGGAACATATGTAAATATGAAAAAGAATAGAAGAAAAGAAATTGCCGTGAGAACTTTGGCTCAATATTTTTCTCCAGCCATGAGTTGCACAACCAGTTCTAGGAGACCTCCTTCTTTTGAACTTATTGCCTCAGTCTGCACAGAATCTACTGGATTTGGTGTGGCAGCACCAGCCATTGTCTCTGGAAGACCATCATTGCATAGGGATTGTGAAAGACACTGGGTACTGAATGGTTTCCTCTTGCTCTTGTTTTACTGTATTTCCATCTAAAAGTAAATAGACAACTGCACAGTAAGTAAATAACCATCACTACAATACATCTCAGAAGCTAAAAGTACCATGTAAACTATCACAAAAACAGAAATCAGAACCATAAAATTCATCACAACTAACAGTAATTATGATGTTGCAATCCTTGAGGACTTCTCATTACATTTGCCTCAAATAAAGTATTCTTGCTTCCTTCTATCCATAAAAATTGAATCCTACAGACTTTGTCTATGTATTTGCCTCCTATGACCACCTCTGTGTTAAAACTCTTCACTGAGTTATTTTAGTATCCAACCTTGAAAGGGGAACTTGAGTGCAAATAGTTAAATTAAGAAATATAGTTTTGGTTCTTCCTCCCGAACACTTGACTTGGGAGGAGAGATGACAAAGGCTGACAAAGGAAGACTGAGCTGCACATAGGGCTCTAGCAACACCTTGGAAACATGACTGGTGGTGACCTATTGACCTTTGTGAACCTGACTTCTGACTGAGACTTCCATTACTTCTGTTGGCACTGCCCTGACTAAATGCCCATCAAAAGTGACGTGTTGCACATTTTAAATTGAGATGATGCACAGTAATTAGAAACACTGAAATAGATTATTAAGACTTTCCTATGTCTCCAAATTATTTTAGTAAAAAAGCAAACCTCACAATCATCATACAATTTTTTGCAATAAATATTACCCATTTTATTTTAAAGTTAAGTGTATAAAAGTACAACTTTAAAAGCAAGCATAATAATTTAAAGCATGTATTTTTCTTTATGAAGATTACTTTATGATCACAGAGTTATAATTAAATTAAATATTTAACAATCTTCATTCCATTCAAAGGCAGGTTAAAATATTTACAAGGATGCCTGAATATGTGTTTCATTTACTTCAGACTTCTGCTTTTTGGATTGTTACTGTCTCTGAAGGCAGAATCTTAAAGAAATGGAAATTGCTGCTGGTTAAGAAAAATAGCTTACACAGCTTTGACCTATCTTGATGGACTGAAGGGATGGCGATGAAAACTGTAGTCTTAATAAATCTTCCACAGCCAGAGGTTTAAAACTCATACTGTTACAAATTAGTGAGGACAGCAATGTTTATTGGCTACTGAATTCCAGTCATCATGACATTTCAGCAGGAAGCACTTTATAAGACTTAAACTTATGAGTAGCAAAGTTGAAAACTCATATTAAGGTAGAGGAACAGAAATTAAACAGCCAGTGATTCATTTTAAATACAAAAGCAACAAACCAAACCTTATCATTTCAATTTCTTCATCTTTCCTCACCAAACCTGGCTTTTCTTAGAAAATTAGTGTGGAACCCTAGCCTTGACAATGAGCTTTATACATATCCCAGGAACTTTCTAATATATCATCTCATTGAAATTCCATAAGACTAATTATAAAAAACGTTATTGCCCACTGTGGAAGAAGGAGATAAAGTAAAAATCACCGGGTGTTCAAAAGGATATCTTATGTTTATGTTACTATTGATAAGATGCTATCAGATAAATTTACTAGAAGACTTGGACCAGGTTAGAAATTCAATTTGGCACAGCACAGAGAGTCTACCACAAGTTTTCACAGCCATGGAAACTCTGCAATAAGAAGGAAAATGTCGGAAGTGTAAGGGAGGATAGAAACTAGTAAGAAAGTGTCATCCAGTAGACTCTTCTACTTTCACCCACATTTGCTCGTTTATTTCCTTAGGAAACAGAAAACCAGCTCTAGGTTTCCTGCAGTCTCAATGGACTCTTATCATGCAATGTTTTATCATTGACATATATTTTAAAAACACAGAGCTACACTGTATTAACTTACACAAATATAATAGAAAAGCAAAGTGCAAATTTGAGAAACAAAGTTTATCAGCTTTGTTTTCAGAGGATGAAAGGGAATAACATTGAGATGAAAAACAAGAACAATTTCACTGATAAATATTTGAAATTTTATTTGAAAAATTACATGTGAGTATAACTATATTAATTATATTCATACTATATACTCATAATATATACTTAAGGTTGTCATAATTTGTCAAATACCAAATATAATTTTCTAAAGCTTTGGGGTTTTCCACTTTCCCACTTGTGTATTTATGGAAAATTGGTCACACTTACAGAAGAAGAAATAATACTGCATCGATCACACATGATCCTGTGACTCAGTCATACAAACAGAATTCCTATGAGGTCACAGCTGTTCTTGCTCCAACTATTCTCAGTTGAGACAGCCTGCTTCCCACAACAGTCTGTTCCTTATATTTTTGGTTGTGAGCCTAGCCTTTAATGGCTGAGCCATCTCTTCAGCCCAATAGTCTGTCGAATGAGCAGACAACACGAGGAATGAGAGGCTGCAGACTTGAATGTAGGCCCTTGCAACTTCACAAGATTGCTCATTCCAATGCCCTCTATAAACTCCAAGTGTTCCCCTCCTTCCTTGCAGACCCCCACTTCCTATAAGAGACCCTGTCCTTCACTGTTTGAAGTAGTTTCATCTGTTGAGGTCAGACTCTGGTCTCTTTTCTGCCTTCTGTCTCTTTACTCTGTGCTCCAAATCTAACAAAGCAGCCATGAGCAGGAGTAAGGATGGCATCCTACTTCTCTTTCCAGTTGCTATGACAACACAGTTTGACCATGATCACTTAGTAGAAAGAGGATTCATTTCACCTAACACTGCCAGGTCACAGTCCATCATAGCATGGAAGTCACAGCAACAGAAGCTTGAGTGAACTTGCCTCATCACACATATCAGGAACAATGAGCATAGAATGCTTCTTGTCAAGCTCTACTCACTCTCTCCACTTCACTCAGTGTACAGGGCAGACCTGGAAAAGGTGCTGGTCATGTTCAGGCTGTGTCTTTCTATAGTGATTATTGAAATCTGCCACAGAAGCTCACTCCAACCTAATCCAGATGAGTTCTTATCGAGATTCTCTTCATGGTGATTCTACCCTGAGTCAAGTTGACTGAACATCACAGATGAGAGTGTTTCTGAGGCTCTTGAGGCGGTGAGACAAGCTGTTACACTTCCCAACACTAACCTGCAGTCTGAAGCAGGAAGAAGCCAACACTTCTCCCTCTAGTGCACACTACATAGGCATCCACTGCAGCCATTGCTTATGTGGAACTGAGCTGTATCTCCAAGTCTCCTGGAGATAACCAGTCAGTAGAAATCATTAGGGAGGTCTACAAAACAACCATTAGGGAAGCAACCATGTCTCAGGAATCATTGCATGGTTTGACTCTGCTATGTCACTTTTCCTGGAAGCTGTGACCAAATGTCTATACATGGCAGATAGAGCACCAATGACAGACCAAAGGAGTGATTGCAGAGAAATCCATCTGTGAGAACTAATAATTTTATTTAGGTTACTTATAGTAGAATGGATGATTGAAAGTCAATCAGCTACAGTCCTCCCCAGCATCTTACAGGTTTGTGTTCAGCTCCCCCTGCAGCCCCAGACACTGTGCACTCAGAGCACAAAAGTACACAGCCGAGTCGCTGAGGTCCACAGAGGCTTTCTTCAGGTGGAAGGAAGAGTCGCTCTTCCTAAACTCAGCCTCAAAGCCATTCAAGCCATGAACCACGGGATCTCCGGAGTAATACCTGAGGAGAAACTGGATGTTGTGGCCATGACGCTGCATGTACCAAAAGAGGTAAGAAACTCCACCATAGGAATAGTTGCATCTGAGCTCCACTGAGTCTCCTTCGATGACAGTGACATGGGCATCACGCTGAGTAACTGACTGTGCTTGGACATCTCCTACAAGATCAATGATAAATCAATAAACATGACGCAGATTTCTTACTAAAGTTCAAGTGAGAAAAACACTGATTCCTATGCATCTATAAATAATGGGGAAGCTTTACTCACCCAGGAAAAAATGCATCCCCAGGAACGAGATGAGGACTGGAAGCATGGCTGAGCACTGGGAACACCTCTTCTGCTTCCCTGAAAAAGCTTGGCACATGAAGTTCCCAGTTCTTGAAGATAAAGGGCACCAAGTTGACTAGACACCTTCCTTCTTTAGATAAAATTCTAAAATAAAATAAGCCTGCAGGAGTGGCCCTGTTCCTGGGAACTTTCTAGCCTCTGGCTGTCTTCACTTCTTCACTTATCAGATGTCTAAGAACTCAGACAGATGCAGGGAGCCACTGAATTCAAAGTGGGGACCAATTGCAGATATAGCAGCCTCTGCACTGTGCAACACCGCCCTCTGGCGATAGAGACGCTGAAGCAAATCCATGTGTTCTTTCTGTCTAGAGTGCACCTCATATTTTTTGAGTCCTAATCTAATGAAAAACAGGCCATGCAAAATGGAGGGGTAATTTTTTTGAAAAAGGATCATATGATAAAACTATCAAATCTGTTGTTCGTGGGAGTGAAAGACTTGTAAGAATTTTGAGTCTTTAAAGAAAGAAATTAAAGAAGCTACCAGAAAATGGAAGGATCTTCCATGTTCTTGGATAGGTAGGATTAACATAGTAAAAATGGCAATCTTGCCAAAAAACAATCTACAGATTCAATGCAATCCCCATCAAAATGCTAGCACAATTCTCCACAGAACTTGAAAGAACAATTTTCAACTTTATATGGAAAAACAAAAGACCCAGGATAGCCCAAACAACCCTGTACAACAAAAGAACATCCAAAGGCTGACTTCAAGCTCTATTATAGAGCTATGATCCTGAAAACATCTTGGTATTGGTACAAAAATAGGCAGGTAGACCAATGGAATCAAATTGAAAGCCCTGATATTAACACACACGCCTACGAACACCTGATTTTTGACAAAGAAGCCAAAATTATACAATGGAAAAAAGAAAGCATCTTCAACAAATGGTGCTGGCATAACTGGATGCTGGTGTGTAGAAGACTGCAGATAGATCCATATCTACCACCATGCACAAAACTTAAGTGCAAATGGATCAAAGACCTCAACATAAATCCAGCCACACTGAACCTCTTAGAAAAGAAAGTAGGTGGTACCCTGGAACAAATTGGTACTGGAGACTGCTTCCTGAGCATAACAACAGTAACACAGACACTGAAATTGACAATTAATAAATGGGACCTCCTGAAACTGGGAAGCTTCTGTAAGGCAAAGGACACG